AAAAACAAACACTTTTTCTTGTACCACACATTTTCAATTTTAAGATGTGTTTAATGTTTTAGTGTAAATGTGCCTAAAAATTAAAAAGATGCCTCCATCTTCACCAAATGTCTGTGTTGGTGAGCCAAATTTGTACCATTTTTAAACTGCGAACAAGGACTCCAGAAAAAAACCATTTTAAGGGTCCCATTGACTCTCATGTAGAGCAATATGTTTTCAAAGATTTTTAACCTGGTGGCGATGAGGGTGTGACTCTTGATGGGGTTCTTCAGGCTCTCTTTGCTATCAGGAAAGGAGGAATACAGAAGCAGGTCCTTCTCTGTCAACACTGCAAGGACAGGTTTCTCTGGACCCTGGGACATCTGCACAAACAGACAATAAATCTTTTAAAACTATACAGCAGGTTGGGTTTACTGAGATAACATCCATTCATTTTTGTAGCTGTTGTTTGAGACTGGGTTGTGGGGGAAAGAGCTTCAGTTAACCTCCCTACAGGCTCACAGACTGGGCGGGGGGTAGCATGACGATGTTGGTGATAAAGTTAAATTAAGCTGTAAGCTTGAGTGTGTCTCTCCTCTCCAAGGCGGGCAGTGTCCCTCACATCGCTTTCGTTCGGTCTGCTCTGTCTTTCACAATGCAGCCGGGGCCCCTGCCCAGAACAACAGGCCCATTTGTCCCCCCTCTCAGTGGGCCTGGCTCCCTATAGATCTGCCTTTGCCAGCTCATCTGGCGAAGGTAGGTATGTTTAAGACACCCCCATAGAATAGAGTTCAAATGGCATCCTTATCAGAGGCCCAAACCACCTTAACTGGTGAATCTAGTCTATATTCTCCCGAATAACCAGGCTCATCATCCTGTCCCTGAGTCCAGCCACCCAACAGATGAAGTTACTTGTAATCACCACCTCGTTCTTTCAGTGATTACACTATCTTATTAAACTACGTGATGTTTGTTTAATTGAAAGTTTTATCTTCTGGCTCGCCTCTCTATTCACTAAAGCAGATTGGTACTGTGTCCCTATCATTGTGAATACTTCTGCAGACCACCTACATTTATGCACTCCCGTCATTATCCTGAGATACTTCATTTGTCTTTCTCTTGGGGCAGTAACTCATCCTCATAATATTAGATTATCACTCATTGTCTTCATGTTGTAAGTCAAACTCGCAACAGTGTTAAATGAATATTAGCATTACAAAATTTGTCCATGGTGATGTTTTTAGATTTCACCAGAAAAGAAACACTTTTCAACAAGCCAATCTGGCCATGAGGAAGCCATAAGAACCCCTGTTTAAGGTTTGATAAAAATCATGTAAAAGACACCACAAAAATGAGGAACAACATGCTCTGGGCAGATGAAATAAAAAATTAAACATTTTGTCCTACATGCAAACTGATATGTGTTGTGTACTACTGACACTGCACATCAACCTGATCACAGTGCCATCACAGTGAAAGGTGGTGGCAGCATTATACTGCGGGATACCATTATTTAGTGGGGACAGAGTTGAGGAAAATGAGGAACCCTGGATGAATAATTGTCTAAGAATTCAAAAGACTAAACATATAGCCTGAGCTACAATGGAATGTTTAACATCAAATAATGGTGTGTGTTTGAACATTTCTGTGAAAACCAAAACTTCAATCCAAGTGGGCATCTGCGACTTAAAAATAGATGCTTACAGACACTTTGCATCCAGTCTGACTGAGGTTAAGCCATTTGGAGAAGTAAAGATGGCAAAACATTCAGCCTGTAGAATTGCAAAGGTGGTAAGAGACATTCTTCAAAAAAACTTGCAGCAGGGAAATTAGGTTCTGCAAAATATCGTTCAGGGAGCCTGAATATAAATGCCCACCAAACATCACATTTTTATTTGTAAAAACGTTTGAAACACATGTATTTTTTTTCCCTTAACTTTAGAATTATGAACTAATTTGTTGTTTAATAATAGTTGTTGTAACAAAATGTGACCAAGATGGGCTATTTATACCCGTATAAGGCCCTGTACAACATTTTTTGTCCACATCTGATTTTCATAAAAGCTGGTTTGAACATTTACAACTTTTCAACTCTTAAACGTTCTTTTTGGTGGCTACACTAAAATTTGGAAATGGAGAAGTCGAGAGTCGTCCACAACTAAAAACTGTATCACTAAAACTGGAAAGAATGTAAAAAGGGTAATTAAGTACAAAAGCTAAAAAAGATTAAGCGAGGCTCTGTTTGCCATGTATCCTTCCACACCTGCTCTGTAAGCCAGCCCAAATGTTTGACCTCCATGCCAGGCTGCATGTTCTTCATCTCCTCCTTCACTTGTGGTAAAAGGCTGGCAGCAGCAGTTTGGATGGCATTATACCACGACTGAGCCATGGCTGGGTCTTTTGCCCGCAGGAACATTGAATTCTTTCTGTTGGATGAAATCACTTCGAAATACCTGGCAAGTGCGATAAAAGGAGAAGAGAGAGGGAGGAAAGAAGATGGTAAAAGGGGGCTGTTAAAAAAACAAGACAAACCTCAAAGAGAGCAAAGCTTCAGGCTGAAGAAGAACTTTCACAAATTAAAGAGAATATCAAAGTAAGATATGAAAAAATCCCTTTTGCAGTAATCTTTCAAAGTCTTCTTGTAACTTGTCAGACAGCTTCAGCTTGTTTCTGAGAAATATATTACCTGAATTAAACATGACATTAACTGAGGTGTGTAAAATGTAGTACCTGTTCTCTGTGTCTGGGGGGCACTGTTTCCGTGACACCTGGCACATCTTCATTGGGATGCTGCGAGGCTCTTTCACCTCGGCAGAGGAGACCTCAGTGCCCCTCTGAGGTGTAGAGGGGGGAGAATCCCATGGGAGGCTTGCTCCGGGGGAACCGGAGCTTTTAAAAAATGCAGACATCTCCTTGATGTACTTAACTGTAAAAGAGCAAGGGAGAATTAGATGGTAAGCAAGACAAAGCACAGCAGGCAGAAAAGATAGAGAAGATTTTTTTTTTTTCAAAATGGAGCCTTCAAGTTTGGTTTAAATGAAAAAATTCTGCGCTTAGGAGCTGTTTTAAATAGTGCCAAAACCCATGTGTAACAACTCACAAACAGATCAATCGCAACTTCTTTTATAAAAGCAGCTTAAACATGATGAATGTAACAATGACAGTTAGGGTTGCAAAATACTGCAGCTCCTCTTTTAACTGGCACTCGGACGTTTGAGCACATTTCCCCCACTTTTGATTCCCTTCACTGGCTGCCCATGCCTTTTAGGATTCTTTTCAAAATAATTGTATTTGCTTTTAAAGCCTTGCCTCAGCCCATCTCTCTGAACTGTTGCAGCCTTATATACCTACCTGCTCTCTTAGGTCTGCTAATCAACTGGTCTTCACAGTACCTCGGACTGAATGTAAACTCAGAGGAGATTGTGCTTTTGCTGTAGAAGCTTCCAAATTGTGGAATGATCTGCCCTTGGAAATTAGAAAGGCATCTTCTCTGCCTGTCTTCTTCTGAAAACCCATCTATTTACCCTGGCATTTGAAACGTTGTGACATGTTGGTTTTAGGTTATTTTTATAGTCATTGTTTTTAGTAGAATTTTATGCTGTTTTATATTGTTTTAATATAGGACTGTTTACTTGTGTATCATGTTTAAATATGCTTATTTTTTACTTATTAAACTGTACAGCACTTTGGTCCTGCACTGGTTTTTTAAAGTGCTTTATAAAGTTGGACTGGATTGCAAATTAGGTATGATTTTGTCTCAAAGTTGTTTTGAGTGGTGATTCCTTGAGTACCAGCTGGAGGCATAAAGGCATTGTAATCTACTTTAGTGTTACACAATGGCATGGGTGACCAAGCACAGCTGGATCTTTAGGAGAAGTCATAGACCAAAGGGGCGGAAGCAATGACAAGGATTTCAACACTGCTGCCAAGACTATTCACTCCAGAGGGCAAGTGTCAGAAGGCTGAAGTCACTTCACACCTCTTTAGACAATTAAACTTAAATATATATGAGAAAACCAATACAGAGAAAAACAGCACAGGCACAGAGGGTAAATACAGATTCATATACTATATATAATGCTGAGAATAAGTATTTGCTGCCTTACAAAGTTCGTCTGTTTTTGCATTTCTTGTAACACATAAATGCTTTATATCATCAAACTAATTTTAATTTTAGACAAACATCACCTGATTGAATACAAAATGCAGTTTTCCAATAATGATTTCATTTCATATGGGAAAAGCTGGCCTCACATGAAAAATTAATTGCCCCAAAACTTAAAAACTGGTCGACCCACCCTTGGCAGCAACAACTGGCATCAAGTGTTTGCAATAGCTGGTAACAAGTCTTTAACATCGCTGTGAAGGAGGTATTGCTCACCCGTCTTTGTAGAAATGTTTTAAACTCAGCCACGTTAGAAGGATATCCTCATTCAGACTTTTCTTGTAAATGTCCTGAAGAAGCAACACAGTCCAACATCATCATTGCTATATTTTAGAGTCATTATGATGTTCTTTTTGTGACACACGCCTTCCAAAAAGATGCACTGTTGTCTCATTAGTACACATAATGATTTCCCAATAGTCTTGGGGATCATCAAGATGTTTTTGGGCAAATGTGAGATGGGTGTAGAGGCAAAAATCCTTGTGTTTTTGTTCCGTAAGGAGTAGCTTTGGCCTTGAAACTCCCCCGTGGATGCCATTTTTGGCCAGTTTATTGTTAGAACATAAACACTGGCCTTAACTAAGGCAAGTTAGGCGTGCATGGTTTTAGATGTTCATGGCTCTTTTGTGACCTCCTGGATGAGTTGTTGCTGTTCTCTGGGAGTAATGTTGGCATGAACACCATCTTTCCAGACTGATACATGTCAGTGACTTTGTTTCTCATCTGTTCTTTAGTTTCTTTATATATGGGCATGATGCATTGAACTTCTGGCCTACTTAATTTCTTCATGCTCTGTTTAAGTGATTCCTTGATTTTACATAAACTAACAGGCGTGCTTTTTTACAGCTTTTCAGCGGGCGCCCAATGGCTCAATGGTAGAGCAGGCACACCATATGCAAAGGCTACAGTCCCCAACACTGTTGTCCCAGGTTTGACTCCTGGCCCTGGGCCATTTACTGCATGTATTTATCTTCTTTCTGCCATCCTTCCTGTCCAGCTACTAATTAATTAAGGCTACAAAAAGTTAAGTGATTAAAAACTTTGGTTACCCTGGCCTGATATCAAAATCTGTCTGAAGATCTAAAACATTTAATCATGACCAAAAAACAAAAACAAGAAATCTGTGAGGGGGTAATTGTTATGATTTGGGGTTGTTTGGTTTTGGGTTTTTTCTTTATATGTTTTTTCACAGTTGAAGTTTTGAATCGTTCTTCTGTTTATTATTATTATTATTATTCTTGTTAGATTTTTGAATCATGTTTCTGTTTATTTTCCTGGTCATGCTTTAGTTTTTGTATTCATGTTTTGCTAAGTTGTTTTCTTGGATTGGGCTTCTGGTTATGCTTTGGTTTCATGTTTTTCTAGTTTGATTTTTATTTGTTTGTATCCTTGAAGTCCTGTTTATTCCTGGCGGAAACATTTTTCAAATCATGCTCATGTCTTGCTTTCTGGATCATGTTCAGGTCTAGTCGCCTCGATCATGCTCACGTCTTGTTTTTTTCTCGATCATGTCATGCCTGTCTTGCTTGGTTCATTTGCCTGTTTTGATCCTGCCTCATCAGGAGTGAGTTTTTGTTAAATCCTTTTCACTTACCATCATGCTGCCTGCTAGTCTGTATTCTGGGTTCCTACGCTGCACACAGCCTAACAGTAATACCTTCTTACTTCTTAGTGCTGTATACTTCACACAGCAGTTACCTTCCTACATGGTAGAACACTTCTTAAAAGCACAAAAGAAGTTTGTTTATCTTCATTTCATGATTTTATCTTGCTTGTTTTCCCCAGCTGGACAATCAATTACCATTTGAGAACAGACACAGCAATTCATTGACTTAATCTGATTTCACTAACAAGAACCACACCACAACAATGTGAGCCCACTGGTTTAATCAAAGAGGAGAGAGGATGAGGGGGGTCTCCTGAATAGGGATGTGTCTCAGTCAGCGAATGACATGGTAAACTTGGGATCCCTCGAGATGGTGCTGTGTATGCATTCAGACAATGCAGTCTGCAATCATATCTCCCCCTTATACCTTAAAGTCTTTACGGTTTTGTGACTACCTCCTAAGGTGGATCATGAGCATAACATTCTATTGTATTTAACGTATTTTTAATCCTGTTGTTTTTGGTATATTTTATCATGTAGCACTTTGAGATTTTAAAATGTTACAAATATAACAAATTATTCTTAATTATTAATATTGGTGAATCAAGTTCAACCCACTTTTCGTGTGACCTTTAAGCTGATTCAAGAGTTTCACTTAACTACACACATTGCTACCAACATTTACTGTCAGTCAATTGTTGAACTCATGCTGTTTTGCCAACATGAATCAGTTAATTGTGACACAATTACATGGTGTATGATAATTTATACTGATGACTCAGTTCAGTGGATGATAAAATTTTATCTCCATATTTTCTCCCAAACAACAAAAGAGATCAAATGTCAGTTGTAATGTCATTTTTAAAATCCATTAGGGACCTTTACAATCTTAGAATCATAGGTTGAAGACATCATATTTTATTTCCCTAATCAGACTATAACTCATGGTCACCGATGCCATAAAATAAATTGTAGTTTTATAATTAGGTACAAGCAAATTCAGTTTAAGAGCAAATCTAAAAAACATATCTTGCTAAAATTTGTCCATCCACACACCCATGCACATACACCTACACACCACCACCATGCTGCAGCTCTGGCTCAGCAGGCTGTGGTATTGGTTCAGCAATTGTAGCCTCTGCTGGAGTAAAAATAGCCTAAAGGACATGGTAAGTCAGGAGGCTGAAGGTAAGGCTCTGGTTTCATTGGGGAAGTGTGAAGTGATCTTCTTGCACAGTACAAGAGGCAAACTGCCGGGGGGCAAGCAGAGGAGTCACAGCACCAGACAAGAGCAGACAGAAGGTGGCTCCTGCTTTTAAATAGATCCTATGACAGCCTACCTGCTTTTCATACAATTAGCTAGTTAATCAGTGTGCTGACTCTTTTTTTTTTTTTTTTTACTTTTTTTATTGCTACTGCTACTTTCAAATTGCTGATTTGGCATGCATTCCAAAAGGTTTGGCCACCCCTCCTTTAAGGGATAAACCAGTCTGATACTTAGCTATCTCACCTGTCAGTCAGCTGTATACTGTGAATATTACATTGAAAAATAAATCTCTTCAGTTCCAAAATTACTTAAAAAATGTTGCGGTAGTAACATCTGCTTATGGATTTGCTAATAATTTCTGAATCCCTTTGAACAGACTTTCTGTGTGATACTCCGGTTTTATCACTGTTATTCTCTGATTTGTGACCTCTGTGTTAGACCTCCTTATATTTAATGGTAATCCCGTTACTTTATTGTTATTGACTTATTTATATTCTACGTGCACATAACTTTGGTGCAACTGGTGTTGTTTTTTAAATGTGCTCTATAAATGAATCCATTTATTTCTAGACAAAAAAAGAGATATTCAGTAAAGCCATTCAAAATGATTTTCTTTGTAAAGCTTCACGTGTAGTAACACTATGTTTTAGAATTTTCTTTGAATAAAGTGTGTAAATTTACAAACATACTTGTGTCAAGTCACAACTCATTTAGGATGGATGGATGTGTCAACATAATTAATGGGCACACCATGTGAAAAGTGAAGAAATGTTTTCCAGTCTTGGACTGACAAAGCAGAATGTATCCAAAAAAAATCCTTTTAAAATGATGATAGGCATTCAGAGTGCAACTGCAAATTTGATGAGGAAAGGAAGCGGCGAGGAGAAAAAAAATTGTAACTGACAGTAACTCCTCCTCAGAACAATGTTCAGTATCACTGAATGTGCAGCTCTTCTTTTGAAAATCTATTCTTCCTTAATAATAATCTTCTAGATCCTCATTATGTCTCTGATCTTAGTTTCTGTCTTCCCACTCACAGAAGAGCTCTGTTGTAAAACAAAGAAGCAAAATCATCGGAATCACTAAAACGTAAGAAGAATAAGAGAGGGATGATTCCTCTGTCCTCCTTTGGATGTGGAGTATTGAATAATCCTACCTTGAACATTTATTACTTTCCCCAATGATTTCCTGTCTCATTGCCGATCTTGAAGGTATTCTTTCATCAATGGACCGCTAAAAAAAGCTTTCTGCGACATAAAACTCTGACAAAAAAATTATTTTCAAAACTTGCTAAAAATACTTAAATAAAACTATTTTTACTAATTGTGCTTATATAATGTCTGTATATGAATAATGTAAGGGAAAATCTGGAGATTTTCAAATTCCTCTTATTAGTGTTTGATACAGAAGCTCTCTAACATTTTAAGTATGGTTCTAAAAGAAAGACAATTAAATGCTTTGAAATCAGGCTTTGACTGAAACACTGTAGGTATTTTTTTAGTATCCAGCTAACAAGTATTGGTGAGCTCTGTGCAGCTCTAAACTCATACCGTCCTCATTATTATGCAGTTAAAGAATCAATATTAATATATCCAACCATTCTTAATTATTTACATGCATCAATTAAAATGTGCAAAATAAACATTTTAAACCCCCCCAAAAATCTGTAGACAAATTCCTATACTAACTAGGCATGTGCAGACTGGGAGCATGTATCAAGCAGTGAGCATCTAATGTCAGCACGCTTTGAAGTAGCTGTCAACTTGCATATGTAATATTTCATGGGAATGAGCTTCTGTCCATTTGTTCCTGTGCCAGCACACTGATGTTTAGGAAAGGCAACTGCATCTTGTTTCTGCACTGAGGTCATTCAACATTTATGCAGTTAATCTCACTGGAACTATGGAAATAAGAATGGAAATAGGCTTGCTTACATTATTACCTTAAGCTGAAGATATCTCAGAACATCTTCTAAATTGCAGCAACAAAGGTTTTGGACATTTTTACATTTTCCAAAATGTTCATGGTTGAGATTCAGTTTTCTTCTTTCACAGTTCTCCAGACTAATTTTTTTCTAACACCACTGACAGTATTTTACTGAGGCAAAATTGAGATTTCAGCCCACTTTATTATTTCTTAGCTAATATTGTGACAGTGTACTTCGTCCATAGATGCAACATGCTTTAATCTGATGAAAACTATTTGACCAAAATACCTAATACTATTTAGGTCACTTAACATACTCTCCTTAATGATAACAGCTCATTGTTTAGGATCACAGATTTTGCTGAACTATTTACAGTATCTTGAAAAACACAAATACCCTTTAAACTGTTTTAGATTTTGTTGCACTCCTACTACAAACTTCAATGTATTTTTTTGGAGTTTTATGTAACACACCAACACAAACAAGTGCACATTGGTGAAGGGAAATGAAAAGAATACTTGGTTTTCACATTTTCATACAAGTAAATATCTGAAAAGTGTGGTGTGCTTTTGTATTTAGCTCTGTATACAAAATTGTCACCTCACAGCAAAAAGGTCTCCAAATTTGAATCTGAGTCTTTTATGTGTGGAATGTTCTCACCGTGCATGTGTGTGTTAAATCCATGTACTGCATCTTCTCACAGTCTAAAAACATGGTGATTCTCTGTACTGACCTTTTGAAATAAGTCTGAGCATGCAATGTTATTCGTCCTATTTGTATAGTGATAGGGCTTCGTAGTGTAGCCTGCCTCCTGGCCAATAACAACTGCAACAGAATACAGCTTTTTCATTTAAGGGCGATAAAACAGAATTTCAAAACAACTTTAAAAAGCAAACAAAAAAATCTAACAAAATAAAGTATGCAAAAGCCAAAATTACTATATTTGTACAGAAAATAATTCTCACCTGTCAGTTAATTTTTTACAAAACATTAAATATAATTAGCATGGAAAAATGTGGACTTAAGTCAACAGGTTGACACAATAAAGTCACATCTAATATTTAAATAATAAATTACATTCTTCTCTACAACATGGTGGGGATAAAATAAATGTTTTGGAAATTACGGTCTCTTCTCCAAATTCAGTATAAA